TTCTACAATTTTACTTTTTTTGCTTCTAAAAAATGGCATCACATAAAAATTCCAAACATTGATTATGAAATGCAAGTTAGTAACCAAATTTTATTTGATAAATATATTGGGTGTAGTTCCTCAAAAAGTCCACCCTTTGATTCTCATAAAATTCGATTGAAATAGTAATACTCCCAAATAATATAAAAGGTTTTTTATGGTGTTTTCCATCGTTCTACGAAAAGAAATACGTCGGTCATTACACGCATTACACATTGCTTCGAAATAGGAAAAATCTATCAGTATTTGACATAGGGAAAATAAACGGTCAGACAGATCGATAGTGAGAGATAGGTGGAGGCCGATGTTCTCCATTATTTGTCTCGGTTAGAATGATTTAACGTTACAAAACCCGTACTTCCCTTTCGCCAATCTGGTTGCCTCTCATGGCGCTCGATGAAAGTAACTCAAACCAGGACGAGGTATTACCGCACTACTGGCTACAATTATCAGCCGGTACATGCCGTTAACGAGGAAAGCCTTTCAAAGGCAACACAAAGTTTCGACTAAAGTTTATAGGCGTTCTCCGACAAAGGAAGGATGTCTTTTTTTCTCGGTATGCCACGAAACTTATTTACTATTTCGTTTCGATGAAAGAACCGCTTAAGCAAGTTTCCGCTTTAACTCTTCATTCGCAATGTCTGACGATATCTCCTCTTCCTTTTGTTTCTTTTTTTTTTATTTTTGGTCCATCCCATCATATCGCGGCCATTCGATCTATATATTGGCAATAGCGGTGACTCCGTTAATGCATACCGATATTGATGCACAGAGAAGAATATCGAAACTGTTAGGGAAGCTATATTAAACGCACATGCAAATTTTTGACATGTTTTTGCACTTGCAGCAGCGGTTTGCGATTTTATTTTTGTTAGGTAACATTTAAGCGATCTCGCCGGAGGCAGAACTGGGCATGGACATTGCGAAGCTTTCTGATATAACGCGTTTCTTATTGTATCCATTTGCTGCGCGAACAAATGGAATTGCTTCTGCAGCGACGAAGTAACGCGCAACATAAAGTCGCTCGTAGTCGCGCTTTATGTGACACGCTCAACTGCATGCTCTCTTGCGAAAGTATTATTTCATGCGCACTTGTGATGCATTAAGTTTTCGAATTTCGAGAAGCAATAATCTCTCTCTCTCTCTCTCTGAAGATTTTCACGTATTGTATTACAAATCAAAGGAGGCATTTCAAATGGTTAGAAATATCGATGACGTTCAATGAATAAAAAGATAAAAGCAAACAGCTCGTGTGGAAGAAACCAAATCAAAAGATAGTTTAACAAACAGATAAAATGTGTGGGAATATGAATACGACGAGAATTCATTGGCATTCGGAGAAACGATCAGTTCTGAGAAGCAGTCGCAAATGAACTTTGAAGCATTTTTCCAGGAGAGCAATCTAAGCGAGTAATACTGAAGCGTTCGATTTGTCAATAGCGCGAGAATTCGCGCGCGCAGTCAATAAGATTCATCATATTAATAACAAGTAACAATGAGTCGCCTCCAAGTGTTCGCACGTCCGCGAGTCTTTAGATGTTTAAGAAGTGTTATTTAAATCATCAATTTCTACTGTTCTTTTCATTTTATTCATATTTGGAATATCCATTCTATTATTAAATCTATAGTCATTCCATCGACAGTCTTATTGATATACTCACAAATATATTTGAAATATGAAGAAACATGACCAGAAAGACAGTTTATCTATATAATTAAATATTTCTATATACATATATACACATATTGTTCCATTATATGCGAATAATATTCCGCATATACACTGCATATATACACTGCATTTCATATACGTGAGTTGAATATACATTACAATACATAGTATGTACATAGTGATGGTTTTAGTATATACATTCATCACTTCACACGATATTGATCGTATTCTGATACGATACTGATCGTATATTCCATTTATACACATGTCTTGAACATACTTAAGTATGTTGAAGAGAATTCGCAGTATCTACAATATCTGTTATACAGGTACATTCTTCGCATGTATGTACACGAGTATATCATGGTATATACAATATGTATATACACACTACATACTGAAAAAAAATATTTGAAAACTTATTTGTGTGATATAAAGTTTCTATTCCTGTGAAATCAACTTTATATCCTACAAATATATTTTAAAGTATCTTTTTCAATGTATGTATCGTAATACATATCCAACTCATAAATGAAATTCAAGCATTTATATATAAAAAAATATTCAATATTATATGGCTGTAAGAGGAAGCGTGTATTTATTATATTTTCTATTTTTTTTCTTGGAGTCACCTACAGCATTCAAACAAACGTGCATGTGTTGCATTTATACAAAGGAAAGATTTATTTACATTTAATATATTACGATTTATTTAACTTGGATTTATTATAGAGAAACAACATTTTTTGAGGCAATATTTTTCGCAATTTCGCAATTTCGCAAGAAGAGAGAAAGAATCAATTAATGTGTAATTTAATAGTTTATTGATTTGGGAATAGGTGAAGTTTTTTTAAAATCAATAATTGGAATACAGTGAAGTTTTTTTAATATCAATAATTGGAATATATCGTTGACGTAGAAATTTGATTCATCGCGTACGTTGCAATTCCGAAAGAAAACCCGGCATATGTATTGTCACATGTTCAAGCATTATGTTCTTCCGTGATCTAAATAAAATTATTTGCAATGTTTATGATTAAGCTCTTACTGGCGATGTTTTTCTTCGTATTTTAGATTATATATCTACTATTTACATTAAAATATAAACCGAGTATATTAAAATATATTTAGTTAGATAGCTAGATAGCTAGATAGATAGATAGATAAATAAATAGATAGATAGATAAATAGATAGATAGAAAGATAGATAGATAGATAGATAAACAGATAGATAAAATAGACAGATAGATAATAGTAACAAAAGTAATACATTGGATAATATTGTTAGAGAGAATTTCGAAATCAACGACAGGTAATTGTTAATTATCTCTATAGATCAATGAACATCAAAGAGTAAGGATTATTGAGCTCACGTCATACGATATATTCTTTCAGAAATGCATCGAATTAATCTCAACATAGTCTGCATTAAGCTATTGAGTAGCGTAGTTAGTATTAAACGTTAATGATTGATAATGTATTCTATCGAAAATAACTATGATCTCGCGAAAGTAGCGTCTAGCTCGCAATTTCTTCGGGACAACAACAACGGGGTGGATTTATATCGGCTTTCGTTTGTAAACATTTATAGTACGTCTACATCGCTAATCTCCAGTTTAGTAGCCAAAACAGAGGTGGACATGTGTAATCCATATTTCGGGGAAATCGCGATGCACATCTTGTTTATCTAATGCATATTTTAACGAGATAACTCTCGTAAATTGTAACATTTTAAGAGAAAATTAGAAAAGTCTCCAATTACCAATCAGTGTGAGTTCAATTTGGAATATAGCAAGGTATTACGAATGAGGGTAAACATGAAATGAAAGCCGAAATTTTAAGTCTCTTTATTTCTTTCTCTTTTTCTCTTTCTCCCTATCTCCCTCCCACCCCTTCTAAGATTTTCCTTCTCGTGTATCGCGTTCAAAATTAGTTTAATCAACGTGAATGTCAAGCACACGTCAATAACACCGTGAGATATGCGTCATGTAAGTTGCCTCTAATTAACTGGATTTATTAATTATGCTAAAGGGATTCGTAACGCGAGAGTAACGCGGGGTCAAGGGAAAAAAGGGGAGGGAGAGTGAATTTCCACCTCGATTAAAATGAGGCATCAAAGTGATTTAACGACGTAATTGCAACTCGTTAGCATCTCTCGATGCAAGACCCCGATACGTAGACCCCTTTTAACTGAGCGCGGCGCAGTGGAATGCACCGAAATTAGAGAACCGCACCGTCCGCAAGCAGTAGCGGTGCATAGTTGTGGATCCGAGCGTGTTCAAATCAAATTACGAATACCGCAACGGGTATGACAAGCGACAAAGATTGTCTGCTTTTGCCACGCCGTTTGAACCTGACGCACACGATGCGCGCGACTTCCCACTTACCCGAATAGTAAGTCAGCGGAAATTTCACATTGCATCCGCTTCTCTCTCTCGTTCTCTATCTCTCTCACTATCTCTTCCACTATGCTTATCTTGAAATACCAACTTTGCTGTATATAATCGTCAATGAGAATAAGTAATCTTTTTAAATAGTTATATTATTGAAATAGTTATATCAAATAGTTATGTTATTTAAATGAGTTTCAAGATGAATTTTAAATAGTTATATTAGTTAAGTTAGTTTCGAGATGAATTTTAAATATTTATATTAGTTAAATGAGTTTCGAGATGATTTGATAAAACTTGCACTACATTAACAGCAAAATTTTGTATATAACATGGAGTATATTCTTCAATGCATTAACATTTCTACTTGTAAAAATATTTTAAATTATATGCGATTAGATAGGAAAACAATGCATATTAAGAAAACTGCATTATTTCGATATCCAACATTCCCTTAATTCTGATGATAACACTCTCATTTTATATACTGGACGTATATTATTAAAAAATTTATTTCAAACTTATTAAATCACTTATCGTAATTTGATATTTTAAGCTTTCGCGGTGTTGTCCAATACTTTGCTTATTTTCCATGTTTCAATCGCGTTTTCCTTATATTTCGTTCAAACGTTTTGTGAACATTTCAGTTTACATCTTCAGAAAATAGGGCAACCTGAGACTTATCGTAAATTGCAATACTTATCATAATTTGTAACAATTTTTCTTCTTTTATTGTTTTTAAATGTGTGTTTAATGTGTGATTTCTATATAAATTAAAATGAAATTTACACCAATACTCCAGGCGCTTAGTGTTCCTGTCAGAGTTAACGATCACGAAAAATCAGTTGATCTTCGCGCGTAAATGCTGCTTGACACGTGATATTTTGGCGTTTTTCCAGAATCTGGCGATGATTAATGTGACGAAGAGGTGATGTGGCGAAACTTTGGCTGGACGGCCATCCTGGCCATATGGACGATCCTCCTGATTTTGAACAGCGGTTTAGCCGGTGAACGTATTTCCAATAATCCACGAATCAACACCTCTCCCGAAGCTCACCGGGGAGCTACAATTCCCCAGCTCGATAAGCAGTTTGTCGACGATTCCCATCCGCGATACGCGAAAGAGTCTTTCGAAGCGAACCATCGTCATTCATCAACGCATACGAGGGCAGTTTCCACGGGATTGAAAAATACAGAAACTTGGGATTTCAATGGCCTGGCGAAGCGCATTGCGATGTCAGACGCAATAGTCGCGCCGTCGGGGTGCTCGAGAAACTGCGACGGCAGAAATGCTCGGCTGGCCGCCGCTGAAAGAGTCGCAACGGGGAGTAGTATGTGGTTGTCGAAAATCATAATTCTGGAGAAGTCGGGGAGGACGCGTTACCGTAAGTTCCCGTCGAATCCGGGCGTGTCGACGTTCCGAAAACTGAAAGGCGCCTCGAGGTGGAGAAAACATAGAAAAGGAACTACCTATGTGTTCTCAAACGGTTGCAAAGAGGCAACGGCGACAAGACGCGACGCACAGATGTTAGACGAGCCGACCGAGTGGCGAAAAGGACGAATCTTTAGTGAAGGAAATAGGGCGGCTGCATTCATCCGCGGCAAATTTTCAAAACGCTCGCAACGCGAACAAGACAGCTCGACGACGGAAAATCCCGTTATTTCGGAGTTCGACACTCCAGCCGATACCGAATCCTGGTACGTCAGCGAGATACGCAATAACGAAAATCGAACAAATCCCCACCGAGGGAGGCATCTCCAGCTAACGGAAAACAACGTGGATAAACCGAAGTACGCGGGAGTTAACGGCGACTCGCGAATAACGGAAGCGAGTTTCCCGAGCTATTCGAAGGAGAATGTAAGAAGCACAATGGACGCTGTTATGGACGACACAATCATGAGGAGTTCGCCTCACGAGAGCTCCACCGTGAATACCGGCCCATGGACCGCGTTGATTTTCAGTTCTGGACTGCCGAACGCGCGCAAACAAATCTACAGTGGCAAAAAGCCGTTTAGCTATCACTTTCCGAAGGACGAATACTCGAGATCCTATAAAGCAGTCACCGAGTCCCCGGCAATCGGGTCGCGCCGCGAAGGGGAACGCTCAAAGGTAGGATTTAAAGTAAATACAGGCATGCACGAGGACAGGAAATGGAATGAGGATATCGGAGACTCGTTCACTTTTCGTGCACAGAACTCACCCGATAGGTATCTCAGTAGGAATCGGATCGGCTTTACGGGACAACCTCCTCCCCCATCGCGGAAGAAGGCAGCGAGTGCTTTGAAAACGGCACTCGATACAGCGGCCTCACGACGCGAGTACCATTCTTCGGTGCACAATGTCGGCGCGATAGCGGTCACCCGAGCGACGCGTCCAGCGGGTGGGCTGCAAATAAAAAGCGCCCTGGCTAAGAGGATCAGCGGCGACGCAAATTACACAACGCATTACGCGCCCACAGACAAGCCGTTATACATTAATTCATCGGGCGATCGGATCGATGAGTCGAAGGTAAAGCTCCCGACGTCGCCGCGTCGTATTTCAGTCACGCAGCGGTGGCATCCAGTGCACGTACGACACGTTAAGTCCACAGGCACGGCCCGCGAGCGGATCACCGACGGCGAGACTGAAGTTCATGGCGCGACTCGGATCGGCTTGTGGAATGTCTCCCGCAGCCCATCGGGAATCGCAAAATTCGGAAACCCCTCGGAGGAAAAAGCGTGGAGACGCTCGAGATATTTGCGAAAGTTCGGCGCGCTCGATATCAGGCTGTCGCGACCGCCGTCGCCTCACATCATCGTCGAGGCAGCAGCCGATGGTGGAGCGAAACCCGACGGGCGGGCTCAGGCGACTTTAATCGCGAACGGATCGATCTCTCTCGATGCAGTGATTATCACTGATAATTCGACAGAAACGTGGAAGATTAATAGACGCGCGCTCTCGTCCCCGTCATCGTCCTCGGCATCATCGAGCGAGTCTGGTGGCAAGAATGCAAAAGTTGTAACGAAAGATCCGAATGAAAACGAGAATGACGCGCGAAAACAGCCCGCCGCTCGTTTGCGAGGTGACGACACTCGCGACTCGACGTATCGGCGATATAAACGTCACGAAGTTCGCCTGAGCACTTGGAAAAGTTCGACGTTAACGGACCTCAAGTCGCGAAGAGCACTCGATACGGTAACAACGGCGACGATGAGAATGACGAAGCCGCTCGAGTTTACCGCGAGTCCATCTATTTCGACTACTCAAATGAGCGATGCGGCTCCAGTATCGGTTGTCGCTGTAGAATCCATCACGACCACTGGGGCAACACTAACTTCTCCGAAATACCGCGGATTCCAAACGCAGCGGCGATCAATAACGCCAACAGGCACCGATTACCAGCAATACACCAGCAACCCAGCGAATGTAGGTTCTGGTTCATTAGAAATGCCGTTTACCGACTCGCCAAAAAAACCGAACATTAGCGCGATGGGAACACCGGTGCTTCTAATCAAGACGCCTGATCAATTGGCCACGGGAATCGAAACAGGTAACATCGTAGTCCGGAAAGAATCTGCCACTACGGAAGCAACCTCGTCGGCATCCGGCGAGAACGTCTCGGACGCGCCATCAATCGAGCCAATTAGCTCGCTAGAAGGACGTGCGGAGTCTGTTAACGGTTCAGCCGTTCCGATCATCGATCCGTTTCCTCAGAGGAGCAACGATCCCACTCGAGATGTCTTTGGTAATGTTACGGTAGAGAATGTCGACGAGTCATCAGCTAGTGCCGCGTTCTTGGACCAGTGGCCTGTGAAGCACAGCGCAGTAGTGGAGGGCGATCTCGTTCTCGGTGGATTAATGATGGTCCACGAGAGGGAGGACACGATCACATGCGGCCCTGTGATGCCTCAGGGTGGAGTACAGGCCCTGGAGGCGATGCTGTATACGTTGGACATGCTCAATAATCTGGAGATCGTGCCGGGTGTTAAAATTGGAGCGCACATACTCGACGACTGTGACAAGGACACGTACGGTCTTGAGATGGCGGTGGATTTTATTAAAGGTATGTACTACGCTATTATTGGATTATTACATATGCCGACCATTTTATGCACACCATTTTATGCAATGTGTAGCGAATTTGTCTCGTAGAAAGTTTTTACCGATATTTTCTATATCGAGTTTATCTAAACAAATCACTTCTAACAGAATATTTTATTGTATTATTATATTATGAACTATATAAAAACGAACAATATAAACAATATAATATTGTTATATTATGTTTATATGTCTGATATGTGTTGCTGTGCATGCATCGTTTCGAAAGAAAACGTACGCGGAAAAAATAACATGCTTGGCTCATACATAAATCTATTGTGACTTGAAGCCATATTTATCAATGTTGCCAACGTTGCTAAATAGAATTTACCGCTTGGGGTACGCTCATATCCTACCTTGTCATTCTCGGTTTGCAGGAGTCATAGTGGAGACCTCTAGTAGAGAGTCTAGTAGAGAATAGATATTTTTCGTTTTCCGAGTAAATTACAGCGAGAATCATATTGTAATTATGTAATCAGGAGAATCGTCCTCATTACAGTATAGAATTTTTTTGGGACAAAAGTCGAGATAAAAACCAGACAACTTTTTTGAATAAGCATTACACGGAAAGTGCAGTATTCCATATTTTACTTTTTTATAAATTTTCAAGGATTATAAAATCCGGCATTGTACTGCATTTTTCATATTTGTGTAAAAAGAGAAAGAGGAAACTGTAAATAGCCTTTGTTGAGCAAATATAACGTCTGTGAGGCAAAATACAAAAAAATTGCAGGTACTACGGAAAATGTAGTCTAGCTGCACTAATCTCCAGCTGTTGCATCCGCGCAAATAATGCATTAGCGTTCACGTGTGTATGGACATGCAACTACGCAGACAGAGTGATGTTTGCGCTCTTGCTGCAAGAGGCCTCAAAAGTCAAATTAGGATTTGCTTTTAGCTCCTGCAGATCTTTTAATTCAATAGAAAGAATTTTTAATTCAATAAGTTTTTGTTTATGTAATATTTTTAACTCAACTAAGTTAATTTTATAAGCCATTAACTTAAAAAAAAAAAAAAGAAATATATATATATATATATATATATATATATATATATATATATATATATTAACTAATATAATCCTAGAAATACACACATAAGAAAAAATAACTTCAATTCAAAGTGATAATCGTCATTATATTCTTCAAATCTACTATCATCTTCCTTTTTTGCTTAAAATTGGAGGACAAGGCCTTGAATTTAAATTGTTACTTGCTTACGCGTGAAATCAAGCGAAATCGAAAGGGGATTATTGAATAAGCCCTGGAGATAATTTCCGATATGTTGTTGCCATTGATGGAAGCAGCGCGACGAGCCTATAATGTCTTGGGGGAAATTTCCAGCCGGGAAATTACTCTAGCGAAACCATCGCGGCGTAATTTCTGGCGGGGGACGAGATTGTATTGACTTATTTCGTTATCGCCTTGGCGCGACGCAACGACCGAATTTATATGCGCGTTAGGCGGAAAACGTATACATGTATGTCATAACGTGTACGTGTATATTAGAGACGACATTGTCGCCCCTTTCAAGAGGCATTTACGAGGCAGAAAATAAAGGGGAAATTGCTGTATTTTTTAACGTTGCTCACGAATAACGGATGTTAGTCGAAGGTTAATTGATTCATTAATATTCTAATGAATATTATGAAACATAATGTGTTTGTAGAGGAAATACAATACATCGCGCGGAAGTTATTAAGTAGAAAAAATCGTAATATAAATTGAACATTTCTTCAGAATATAAATTTAGTTTCACTTTAGCAATTTGGTTAGCAACTTTTAATTTGATTTTAAACAGCAACGGTGCACGGTGTTAACTAGAAACGGCCACTTGAGAGTAATGTTCATCCTTATCGTGTATAAATAAAGCAGTAGTAAACATCAGTGAGCCAGCATTTCGTATCTCGAAGAAGCTGCAAGCTCAGCTACCCACTGTCGGTAAGTTTCCTGTTCGACAAAGTTCCATTTTCAGCTTTTCATAAAATACCGACAAACCTGCTGTTATAATCAAAAAACGCCAACGTACGATAAATTATTTTGTACTTTTCGTCGCCATCAGCCAGTAACACAAATCGAACAAATTCTACGGATGTAGAATTCTCGAACATACTAAAATAATCAATCGCCGCAGCATCTGTGCGTGTGTATATTGAGTAGCACTTGAATAAATCGTGTTACTTTGCGATTGTAGATAAAATAAAAGAAACCGAAGCGCGTTTATGAACCAACCAAAAGTTGAACATATCGCAGTAATAAATAAAAGAATATAAAAAATCAATATGTGTATCAATATGTTTAATACCGTTTTGAATTATTCGTTGATATTCTCAGGGAAACAGGAAAAATAGTGTTCTATAACTACTAAATCGGAGTCTGTATCTACACTTAATTTATGCGCAGTGTATATCTCACGTATATAATCATCCGACGAGGAATGGTGAACGGTGATATTTTCGCCGTGAGAGAAAGTAAATTTAACTTTTTCCTCCGTCGACGGGGCGACGCGAAAAACATAGTGGAATTTCGGCTTGTGTTTTCTAATTCATAAAGTTTTCGTAAAAATATCGCCTCGTAAGTTAACACGTTCTCTTACTCTCGGTCAATGTGTAGAATCATTTGAAATTCAAAAGAAACATGCAGTCTCTGCATGCGGTAAAAATTTCTCCGCAACGACCTCAGTAAAAGTTATGCCGTAAGGAAGGTGAAGCGTCACGAGCTCGCTGTGATAACACCCGAAAGATTAAAGTCGTTGTATTATTCAACGGATGGCACGTCCGAGCGATGTGGTCTCTCCCTCCCTCCCCCCCCCCC